ATCAATTTTTCGAAAAATGTCCATACTAGTTAATGTTATTTTTTTATTTATCCTTTTTTGGAAAATAAAAGAAAGCATTTTCGATAACGCCAATATTTTTTTCCCGCCCTCCGAATTTTGTCGCTCCTAAAAATTTACCGCCCTGGGCACTAGCCTCGAGTGCCCCTGGTGTAAATCCAGCACTGGGCATAGCTTCATAGTTACTATATAATACGTTCAATTTCTGGATTTCAAGGGATTTTCGATAGATTACACCCTACAATCACTATAATAGAAAACTAAAAATTGTATGTGAATGATATTATATCTTTAAAAGTTATGTTTTAAACAGAAAGTACAAATACAGCTTCATCCTTGCCGCGAGATGTACATAAATATGTATGTCTCCGACTGCATAACACATATATTCCTTTGTCAACTTGTTTTCATTTTTTTAGTTAGCTTTTATGCAGTCGGGTTTTTTACTTTTATAATAAATTTTTTGTTATATATTTTTATCACTTTTGTAGTATAGATTATAAAAAAGATTTTTGATTTTTGTTACTTTATTCTATTTACTTTACTTACTAATGAAGATTTAAAATGTTCAAAATTTAAGATTTCTTAGAATTTTAATTAATTTCTTAGAAATTTACCTGGAGGTGTTAAAAAAATCGATATATACTTATCAAATAGACTAGATTAGTATTAAATATTAGTACTGTAATTCCAGGAGGAAATTATTATCATTGGCGATAGTTAAAAATCCTACTAAAGTCTGTTTTATTTATTAAGGACATAATGTCCCAACAAAAAAATGGTATTTCTGGCGTTCTATTTCTATGGTTTGACGACACGTTTGGCTCAGTTTATTGTGACCCTATTTGCTCTGCCAGCGGTCGCGGGTTCGGAGTCCCGCTGAGGGCTTGATTTGTGTGATGAGAACGAATGTTCGTACTCCATTCATGGATGTTATTATTTTTTATAATATGTATGTATTTAAAGTTATATAGAGGACAAGTGCTATGAAAGGGACAAGTTTAGAATGAGACAAAATAAATTTACGGCGCATTTTATAATTTCGATTTTAGTTTTCTAAATTCTTACAACATTTACTCAGTACCATTATTGACGTAAATTTCATTTGCTTTTCAAAACAAAGAAAATGGCGAATTTCATTTGCAAATATGTAGGTCCTAAACAGACATTGCGGTACTGAATCCCAAAAAGTAAGCACTGTTCCGACAAATAACCTCACAAATATTGATGTCAAAAAGCGAAATCTAGATGTTTGCATCAGTTTTATTGACTGTGCCGATATTTGCATTTTATTCAATATCAAATGGAATCTCCCCTCAAAGTGCGGCTGACCCATATATTAGCAAAGATTTCCTCAAATAAAAAACTTAAATCTTTGAAAAAAGATAGCATTTATATCACATTATCTATACATATAATAAAATTGTAACTGAGCCGAATCTGTATATTAAATATTTTTTGGAAAATCTTATTGAAATAAACATTATTATCGATACAGAATCTATAGTTTTTTAGAATTTTTGTCTGTCTGTCTGTTACCGCATAGCGGAAAAATCACTGGAGGGATATTGATGAAATTTAATATCGGAAAAAGATCTCATCTCTGAGAAAAAAATACAAAAACTGCATTGTAAGAGTATACTAATATGTAAAACCTAAGAATTTGGTGTTGGTCATCCGAACGCGGGCGGAGCCGCGGACAGAGCTAGTATAATAAATAATATACTCATAGTTGCTTATCTTATACATACCTATGATTAGAACAAAGTCTGGACAAAAAACTATAACTTTTAGCGAGAAAAACTACAATAATTTACGGAAAGAAATAAAAAGTCTAAAAATGTCAATAGCTCAAGTCTAGGTTATATACCCCCCCAACGTGCGTTCACCTTGTCGTGGTGGGGGGGCTCAGGAGTACTACTAGTACGAAGCTAAGAAACGCACAGGGAGGTTGCCCACTTCTCTCTCTCTCTCTTCGGGGGGCGGTGTACCTTGCGGGTTGCTCCTGGTACTTCTCTGATAGCAGAGTGGACCTTGGAGCAACCCCAAGGTTGTGGTGGTCTGCTTTGGCAGACCTGCCGTCGGGGCGTCGTAGTTGAATGCGTAAGCGATCCTGCGACGCCCCATTAAGACGGGGGAAGGTTTTGTTGGGTTTTAGTGGGTAGTACTGGCTGTATTACGCCGGTGAGTCCCACACATCGTGCGTAAATGCATTTCCCAACGTTAAAAAAAAAAAAAAGTCTAGGTTATATAAGTATAATCTTTCTGATGTTCTGAGTCTACTCTACTGTCATAATTTACTATAGCTTCTTATGTAAAACACTCGTTCGATATGAGAAAATAAAGTTTTTTAAACCGATATACTCAGGTTTCTTTGTATAGAAGTATTCCTTTTTAGAGTTCCTGTAGTTATATCCGCCTGTTCGTATATCTGTATGTCACAGCAATTTAACTAAGCTACGGAACCCACAGTGTGTAAATCAGAAACGCACTTGCCCGATTTTTTTTAAATTGACAGTTTTCGAAAACATTTAAATTAATTTAATTTATTTATTTAAATAATATTTATCATAACTTACTAGAAAATTAGAGGGAATTCGAATTTAGTATATAATTAAATAGAAACTTTAAAAAAAAAACAATCTCTATTGTAACAATACAATATTGTGTCAGAAATAGGATGAAAAGAAGCAGAAAATTAATTCTTTTTGTAGTGCTCAAGTATTAATTTTCACAACAGTTATCTTTCACAAAAAAAAGCATATTAAAAATATAATCAACGACAAATTCATCCTTAATTTAACCATTTCGTTGTAACAAAATGTGCTTCATATATTACTTCATCATAACAAAAAAGTATGAATAAAATTTAGGAAAAAATCTGCAAATCGAAATCCCTTTTCGAGCCAAATGCAGAAATCATGTGAGCTCACCCTTGATAGATTAATTCGTTCCGGCGGTCCGGACCCTTTCGTAGCGAAAATAAAAACGTTTTATTAAGCCTTTAATACACTAAGAAAAAAATACGTTCATTTCTGCATGTTTTTTTGTTGGGACATTAACACACAGCACCATCTAGTTCCATGGTAAGCTACGAGGCTTGTGTTATGGATACCAAATAGTTGATACACTACACATATATAACTTTAAATACATACATATTATAAATATAAACATCCATGACTGGAGTACAAACCTTTGTCATTACACAAACGAATGCCCCCAGCAGGACTCGAACCCGCGACCGCCGGCACAGAAAGTAGGGCCACTACAAACTGAGCCAAACGTGTCGTCGTATTTATTTTTAAACTAACTTTTTAGTACTATAAGCTACTTGTATATGAGTTCGTTTATCGGACATCTATTTTAGTTGGCGCCGGATACGAGTTTATATATACTCGTAAATGTCTAACAATAGATTGCGTGTGAAATGATTTAATTTCGTCCGTAAATATGTTGACGATTGACAGAAATATAACTTAAGTTTGTTTAGAAGCTTGTTTTCGTATAATGAAGCTTGTAAAATCCAAACTATTTTGAAATTACAAAAATAATAGACCCGACTGCGTGAAAAACAAACTAAAAAAAATGGGAAAAAAGTTATATAAAATAAAAATAATAAATATTTTGGGACTGTAACTTATTACTTTGTTTTTTTTCTCTACGTCTTTTATTTTTGTAAATACATACTTAGGTATATATTTTTTTACATCTTTTTAGTTTTTTCAGTTTTAGTTAGTCATTTGAATACATAACCTTCCTTTAGGCTTCGTTGCAGTCAGGTAAAAAGATGGCAATCTTAGGAACTACTATCTTCTGTTATACATATAATAATAACACTACGGGACCTAAACGCGTGAACTCGTAAGTGGCTAAATACCTTATTCCCGACGTTTTTACTGGGTTGCACCAGGCGTGGTCACAGGCCCCGGGGGAGAAGCCAACTCCTACCGGGCGCGTCCCCAGGTGGCGGATAGGGGAATGCCACCCGCTTAGGGCGGCGGGTGGTACCGGAGAAATCCGGCGCGGACCAAATGGCTTGGGTGGGGCCGCTCGTCTAGGACTCGAGCCGAAGACGTTGCGGCCACCGGTGGTGGGACCGCTTGGTCCCACAACCGGATGATGGGTGCCGGTTGCGGGACTGTGGTCGCAGGCCCGCATCCGGCGGAGGAGTAGGCCGCGGCGGGAGAGGAGTGCCGGTATTTCGGTGCGCCGTTCTCCCTACCTTCCGCGGCCTAGACGGGGCCGCCACCGTTTGATGGCGGACGCGGTGGAGCTGCAGGGGAAGAGGAGTGTCGGTGTTTCGTTGCCGCTCTCCCTGTCCTCTGCAGCCGATTAGAGGTGGCCCACTTCGGTGGGCGGTGGTTAGGTTTAATGGGGCTGCTCCGGGTACCTCTCTGGCGTAGCAGAGTTGACTGTGGAGCAGCCCCATTGGTTTGGTGGTCTGCCTAGCGCTTAGGCAGACCTGCCGCCGGGGCGCCGTAGTAGTTATGCGCAAGCGATCCTGCGGCGTCCCATTAAGGCGGAGGGGAGGGGAATGTCGGGTTTTAGTGGGTAGTACCGGCTCTTCTAGCCGGTGAGCCCCACATCACCACCTGGGGGATCAGGTGGTATGCGTAAATGCATTTCCCGACATAAAAAAAAAAAAGGCGTGGTCACAGGCGGAGGTCAGCCCGTGACCACGGCTGGTGCAACCCAAGTTTAATTCCCGTAGTGTCCGTATTATATGTATATATATGGAACGCGAGAATTTAAAAACCCCTAATCCCTGCGGAACAACGGCTACTTTTTAGAATTAGAATATCAGTTTTAACATTTCTCTTAAGAATTTAATACAATTTGTATAAAAAAAAATATGTAAGAATTTAATTACACAAAGGAATCACACTAAATTTAACTTAAAGTAGTTTGTTAGTTTTGATTTCTAGAGTTTTTAGACCGAAAGAAAAAAAACCACAGTACAGCTGTAGGTACGTACTAACCTTAACACCGAACCGCAGGTCTTATCGCATATGTCACATTTGGCGGCGACCGGTAGATTCCCCTCTAACCACTGATGCGGCATTATTATTTTCTGCGAACAAAAATGTAATAATTACTTACATATAATGTATATTTTTAAACCAAAGTTTTAAGGCTGAAAAAATTATATCTTTTCATTTCTTTAAGAGCGTTTGTCTCTGGAACTATCGTCAAATAAAAAAAAAAACCTTTTTCGTTCTAAAGCCTACTATTATTACACTCTCTTTGCTCGAGTGCGTTCCTTGATGCCTAACAGTCGCCTATGTGTTACTCCAGGTCTATCTAGTCCAGCCGTTTCAGTGTGAAAGAGTAACAAACAAACAAACGAACAGACAGATAAACAAACATACAAATACATACACATAAAAACATTCGCATTTATAATATAACATCTTTTCATTGAGGAAGACGCTATCTAACATTACGCTACGAACCTTAGTAGCGGAGTAATTAATACTTTCTATATATAAATAGGCAAAGACCAAACTATCGATATCTTTTTCTCCTTCATTTGTTAACCGATTTTATTGTTTCTTTTTTTATTCAGTAGCAGTTGACGAGCATTAATTACATCAACAAAAAGTATGGAAACAGTTAGTTTTCTATACTAATATTATAAAAAGGAAAGATTTGTTTGTTTGTTTGTACCGAATAGGCTCCGAGACTACTGAACCGATTTAGATGAAATTTGGTAAAAAGATGGTTTGGGTTTTTATCTATATATAAAAAATACAAAAGATAACCCTACATATATAGGGTTATTATATTTTAATATAATAATTATGGCATTTGAGCATGCTAGTTAATTCTGATGGTTGATATTAAAATAGATAGACTTTTGTTGTACGAAAATGGAATTTTAATTTTTATGCTAAACATGAGCCCTTTTTACAAATCCTTTTATTATCATAACTACAAAAAATATTTCATTAGGTTATAATGAATCTAATATATACATATAAATACATATCTCGTATATTTGTGGTCGGTCTCCTCCGAAACGGCTCGACCGATTTTAATGATATTTTTTCTTGTATATTTGGTAGGTATGAGAATAGGCCGTAATATATTTTTCACCTTCCTATCTCAACAACTCATTTTTTAATCGCAATTTTAGTATTTTCGTATGAACAATATTATATCAATACATAGTGGCGAACCTAAGCGAAGGGAGGCCGAGTCGCTGTATAACATAAAGCCCAAGAGTTTTTTTTCTAGATTGAACGCGGGCGTAGCCGCGGGTTTTGCTAGTATATGTATTAAAGTAAAATAAATAATTCAGCAGCTTTAACGTCTCACTCATTCACTCAGCTGTGGTCGGGCCTCCCGTAGATAGGATTAAGGCACACTGGCCGAGTGCAGATTGGAGGACTTCATACATTATTTAAAAAGTAGTTCTCTCTTACATCATGGTTTCCTCAAGATATTTGCTTTCACAGTATTACCAAGTGCTTAGTCGTGTTCAAATTGAGATTCACAGGTGGAAATTTTATAAGTTCAAACGTGACGTTGAAATGGCTTCCCTTGTTTTTTTCATACGAGTGCGTTACTAATATTATATTATGACTAGCATTGCCCGCGGCTCCGCCCGCATTCAGATGACCAAAAACCAAATTCTTAGTTTTTACAATTATTAGTGTTCTCTTACATTGAAGTTTTTAAATTTTTCTCAGAAATGAGACATTTTCCCGCGGTAAAAAGTATCCTATATGTGGACCCGGATAACCAGCTATTATACCAAATTTCATCAAAATCTCTCCAGTGGTTTTCCCGTGATGCGGTAACAGACAGACAGACTAAAATTCTAAAAACTATAGATTCGGCCTCTGTTTCGATAATAATGTCTATTCCAATAAGATTTTCCAAAAAAAAAATCATATACAGATTCGGCTTGGTTACAATTTTATTATATGTATAGATGTGAAATTATGTACATACATACTCGTATATTCGTAAGTTTAGCTCTTAAGCCATAAGAGAGCAATGCGTTGATGTCATTTTTGGACAAAGATTGGAGAAAGTTTTCCGATAGAATGCCAAGAAGGCGAGCGCGTGTAGTTACTTCGCTTCGTCTTTCCAACCTTTTAAGTAAAGGATGTTAGAAAAGTTCGTTTAGGGTTTCGTAGCCAAATATCTAAATCGGAATCTTTATATTTCGTCATGTCCCTCTGTCCGTCTGTCCGTATGTTACAGCCATTTCAATCAAAGATTATTGGATCTACATTGTTGGGTAGACATTTGTCTCATATAAACTACAAAACATCAAATTACTGAAATAATAAAATGTTGGGATATTACGTTGGGACATTAACACACAGCACCACCTAGTTCCATGGTAAGCTACGAGGCTTGTGTTATGGATACCAGATAGTTAATACACTACACATATATAACTTTAATTTACACATATATTTTATACATATTATAAATATAAACAACCGTGAGTGAAATACAAACATTCGGACTCATCACACAAATGAATGCCCCCAGCGGGACTCGAACCCACGACCACTGGCATAGCAAGTAGGTAGGTTCACTACAAACTAAGCCAAACGTGTCGTCTAGATAGAAAAATAGAGGTGGGACTCCATATATTTAATTGAGAGATGTAAACGTTTTTTCAAGTTTACACAAACGTGTTGGATATCCATGGATAGACGTTTAAAATTCAGATGGATGTTTCTAAGTGACTTTTTTTATTTAGCCAATAGTTGCAGAGTTATGTACTTTTAACGTAAATACATAAATTGCAGGAAAAAATCTTAAGTACATAAGCATGCAATATAAAATGAATAATTCAATAAACTATCAATCAATAAAGTACATTCTCGCTTTATGGCTGCGTAATAAAACCGATTAATATATACACTAGAAGGAAGAAATGGCATTCAAGACGCGAGAGCGTCGATAAAATGAATCGTTCCGATTTATTGCCTCGTAAAATTAATTACTTGTACTAATACTAAGCATCGATCCCACAATAGCCCTTCAGATTATGGTGTTATGGATTAATTAAGTGGAAGAAATGGGACGTTTAAAGGTTTAAGGACTTCCAGGGTCAATATATCTTATTATATATAAAGAATTGCATAGAGGTAGTCTTATATTTTTATTTGGCGACAGGTTTGTTTAGTTTTAGTGACCATACATGCTGTGCCAGGGGTCACGGGTTCGAGTCCCGCTGGGGGCGTTCATTTGTGTGATGAGCACGAATGTTCGTACTCCAGTCATGGGTGTTTATATTTATAATATGTATGTATTTAAAGTTATATATGTGTAGTGTATCAACTATCTGATATACATAACTCAAGCCTCGTAGCTTACCATGGAACTAGATGGCGCTGTGTGTTAATGTCCCAACGTATTTAATTTATTTCAATGCCTTTTTGGTCTATTGGATAGAATAAAAAGTTGGAGTAGCAGCATTCTTTTTTTTGTCTATTAGTCTTTATTTGTCTTACGGTGAAGGGAAACATTGTGAAGAAACATGCATGTCTGAGATAACCAAACAAGTTTTCGAAAGACATGTGAAGTCCGCCAACCCGCACTTGGCCAGCGTGGTGGACTATGGCCTGATCCCCCTGAAGGGAGGCCCGTGCACAGCAGTGGAACGACAAAAAGGGCTGAATGCAAATTAAAAATAAATTATTATATAGTAAAATTAAACCGATTACTTCTGTAATCCTTTCATTTAGATACGTTATCATCCACTTGAATAACTTTCTTTCGTCTTATAATAGTAAAAACCAGTCCGCGAACGAATAATTAGGTAATTTAAATTATTAATTAAAATATATTCTATTCAGCCATATTTTAATAACGAGATATTTTAATAACGAGCTATTTCAATCCAGTGAACTGAAAGTTGGTTAAGACCGTTGGTTGGGTCGCTTCCGCCGTCCATGAATGCTCCGGTGACAGGTGTCGATGAGAATCTCAAATAGGATACTTTTTGAAGTGATAATTATATTTTCTACAAAAAAATGGTGTTACTTATTTTTTTGGCAGCTATTTTCAAGACAGATATAACAACGAATAATAGAATATTTACTGTGAAATGAACTTTTCAATGTATTTCGTCCTCGTGGGAATGAATTATTTAAAACAAAGGTCTGCAGATATCATTGTTGTCATAAAAGACTTAATAGCAACTCGCTTGCTTGGAAAAAAATATGAACTTAATTCAAACTCTAGTCACGCATCTTTGATATTTTCATGTGGGATCATTTTTCAACATGAATTTCACTTCCGTTATAGGGAAGGAAAACATGGTGAGAAAACTTGTATGTTTGAGAGAACTTAACTAGCTTTCGAAAGACATGTGAAGTCCGCCAACCGCACTGGGAGAATCTCAGCGTAGGGGACGCCAGCAGCGGGACGTTAAAAAAGCTGAATCGGGACAAGTGTGTAAATCTATATTCAAGACATCGCTATATAAAATCATTTTAGCATAAAATCGTGAAGCATTAACAATCAAACCGGCGATACAATTGGCTCAGTTTGTAGTGACCCTATTTGCTATGCCAACGGTCGCGGGTTTGAGTCCCGCTAGGAGAATTAGTTTGTGTGATGAGCACGAATGTTTGTACTCAAGTCATGAGTGTTTATATTTATAATATGTATATATTATAAATAATATGTTATGTATAAGTGTATCTGGTAATCACAACCTCGTAACTTACCATGGAACTAGATGGTGCTGTGTGGTAATGTCCCAACATATTAATTACTTATTTTTATTTATATAAATAAAACTCGTATTTTTTGGACTGAATCTTGTTATCTTTAATTCTTTTTTTGCTTAATTAGATATTTGGTTTTTGATTTTTCTCTGTTTACTTTGATTAATATGTGTACGACAATAGATTTGTCATAGACGACGCTTGTGAAGCGGGTGTTAATAACTGCGACACAGTTACACTAGTTATATATCGTTAACTATTATCGTTAAATGGTTTATAGGGTTCTGTACCCAAAGGGTAAAATGGAACCTTATTACTAAGATTCCGCTCTCCGTCCGTCTGCCTATCTGTCTGTTCGTCTGTCACCAGGCTGTATCTCATGAACCGTGATAGTTCGACAGTTGAAATTTTCAGAGATTGTGTATTTCTGTTGCCGCTATAAGAACAAATACTAAAAAACAGAATAAAATAAATATTTAAGGGGGCTCCTATACTACAAACATGATTTTTTGTCCATTTTTGCTCGATATTGATAACGGCAACAGGTAGACGCTTGACATATTTACAATATATTTAGTTATATATTCACTTTAGAAATAAATAATTAAATTAAAATAAGTCAAATATTTAAGGGGGGCTCCCATACAACAAACGTGATTTATTTTGCCGTTTTTATAGATAATGGTACGGAACCTTTCGTGCGCGAGTCCGACACGCACTTGGCCGGTTTTTTGTTAAATACTAAATGTTTTAAATAAATAAATAATAAAACTTTTTGAAATAATGATGATCAAATGTTATGGATTTTATACTTTTTTATTTAACTCACCCCATCGGGATCCTCCACAAGATGCGGCCCGAGAGATGCAAGGGTGCTCCACTTGCAGGAGGGCGGGGCTCGCGCGGCGCATCGCTTGTGTGCTTTATATTTGCACAGCTCACAAGCGAGCGCGTGCGCAGTTCCTAGTGCACCGAGCGGCTCGCGACAAACGTTGCAGAAGGTTGGTCGAGCGTGGGTTGCCGCATACCTGTTCAAATTAAGCAAATATTGTTCAAATCTACAAAATACAATTGAAAATGTTTCTCAGAGGATATAAAAGAAGTGTGTCTTAACACTTCCAGGTAAATTTCTAAGAAATTAATTAAAATTCTAAGAAATCTATTGCTAACTGACACGTCGGCGTGTCAGCGGTCGTGGAGGGATTAAAGTATTTGTCATGAAATGGCATTGAATGCTAACTAATAATATGAGAAAGGGCTGTATTTTAATTAAACGATTTTTAAAGCAAATATAAGTACATTAAATCAGCATCATACCTTCTTCTTCTTTTTAAATAATGAAGATTTGAAGTATAAACAGACTTTAATTTCTAATATTCATCTATATCAAATCTTAGAATTAATCAATCAGAAGGCGCAATGAATAAGTAAAATAATTTAAAGACTAGCGATTCACCCGCGCCTCGCTCGGGTTCGTACGTTTCAACGTTTAGTATAGATTTCTCAGAGATGAGATATTTTCCCGCAGTAAAAGGGACCCTTATTGGAAACTTGGATAACCAGCTATCATCATAGCAAATTTCATCAAAATCCCTCCAGTGGTTTTTCTGTGATGCAGTCACAGACAGACAGAGAGACAGACAAAAATTCTATAAACTATATATTCGGCCTATGTATCGATAATCATGTCTATTTCAATAAGATTTTCCAAAAAAACATTTGATGTACAGATTCGGCTTAGTTATAATTTTATTATACGTACCTGTAGATATTGTGGGATGTTGAATTACCTTAAGAAAGAAAAAAATCTTACCAATGATGGTCACCAGATGAGATGCTAGCTACGAGGTCTGCTACGTCGGCCCCACGGTGTAGGGCGCCTCGTAGCGCGCCCGCCCACGCCTCCATTTCACCGCGGTTATCCGCACACAGCACTAGGCAGCGAGAGGCTGTTATCACCTATCAACAAAATATTCTATTGTTAATATATAATAAATCACTATCTTTTATATATAAATTAAATAGACAAAGACAAAACATAATACTTTCTTAGATTTACGCGAATATTTGACATTTTATATAAAACTATCTTTTCGGATTATTTCGCGGATTTATTTTGATTTTTGGTTCCCGATGTTTCGAATGCTTTACAGCAACCATGGTTACGGGAGAGACTGAGGTGTTACATGTCTCGAAGGCATAGTTGTTACATGAAATGAAAAATTGCACCAAGTACCATACAATATTTTATAACTTTAAACATTTTTATAATTTTAATTAGTTTTATAATTGAATATGGAATATTATTCATTTAATTTTTGCTGTTATCATTATAATTATTATAATTTTAAAAATATTAATTAGTTATCTATATTTAGTGTTGCCATTACTATATTTATAACCGTAAAGAAAAAATATAAAATACTAGCGACTCACCCTCGCTCCGCTCGGGTTCGTCCCAGGGGTGGGGTCTGGGAGGACCACCCTTATCCTTATCACTTAGGGGTATGGAAAATAGATAGTAGCCGATTCTCAGACCTACTGAATACGCATATAAAATTTGGTAAAAATCGGTAAAGCCGTTTCGGAGGAGTACGGTAACAAACATTGTGACATGGAAATTTTATATATAAGATAATATTAATTATGTAAGCCACATAATTGTTCTATGTGTAATTTTACAAAATTCTTCATTGATTTTAACTTTTTCAAAAATCATCTATATTATAGCTGTATGATTAATATGCTCATTATGTTTGTGAACTAAGTCGGAAAGAGTTCGTCTCTAGGGACGCACCCGAGCAGAAAGAGATTAAGCGACTCGATAATATAATTTTTAAACTGAAAAAAATATATCGATTACGAAATCACGTACTCGTCTATTATAATATTATGGTCCTATTTTTAGATTTTTATATTGTAGGTGCTTTATTTGCGATTTAATGTGACCTTAAGATATTTTTCATAGATTTACATAAAAAATATTAAAATCATTTTACAATCGACTAAAATATTACGTAACTAGCGACTCATCTTCGTTTTGCTCGTGTTCGTCCCCAGATGATCCTTTAAGTTGACATAACTTTTTTTGAACCGATTGAAATAAGACAAATACTAAATGTTAAATGAATCTTACCACAATACATTCGTGAAAACCTTACCCAAATCGGTTAAGCTGCTACATTAGGTACATTACAGACAAATAGACAGAAATTCTAAAAATCATTGTTTTGGGTCCTATTGCGTTAATAAAGACCCCAATAACAGTTTTTATTTCAAATATATTTCATGTACCGACAACGATCAGTTACAATTTTATTATATGTATAGATAAACATACACAAAAAACACCAGAACATGAGAATCAAAATATCTCCTATATTTTGAAGCTGGTATATAAACAAAAATAAAGTTTTTTTAAAAGAGCCGTGATTTATAATTATGTTTCAGGTCCATCATCAGAAAGTTTCAATAGCTCATAGAATATATAATATTAATTAATTATCGCTAAGCTAGCAAGCTACATTGAATTAAGTACTTTATATGCCCACCGTCATCTTTCAGATATCTCCCAAATTTCAAGCGCGTAATAAAAATTATATCTTCCATCTTCGTGTGAAGATAATAAAACATTTTTTCAAAAAAAAAAACAACAACAATATGTGGTGGTGGTCAAGTGTCATCAATCATCATCATCAATCAAGTCAATAAAATACGTAAATATAAATATGTTGGGACATTAACACACAGCACCATCTACTTCTATGGTAAGCTACGAGGATTGTGTTATGGATACCAGATAGTTGATACACTACACATATATAGACTTTTAAATACATACATATTATAAATATAAACACCCATGACTGGAGTACAAACATTCGTGCTCATCACACAAATGTATGCTCCCAGCGGGACACGAACCCGCGACCGCTGGCACAGCAAGTAGGGTTTGAATATTGTATTGCAAATAAAAATTGTTTTCGTGTCATCAATTTTAGATTCCTCCGAAGTAAAAAAAAAGAAATACATACATCATTTTTAAAAAAAGACAATAATAGGGTCTCGGCCTGACCTGTATTTTCTTTCTGAACCCTAACGTGGCCCTAATTCAGGCTAAGAGTGTTGCGATGAAGAGGGTACACTAGGCTAAGGCTATATCATTAATTTAATGATCCATGAGCTGTCATGTCCACATTAGGTCAAACAGGTTTATAGCTGTCATTAACTTTACAAACTACATATTATGTATTACATGTATAGTGTATGTATTAAAAATCTTAGATCACACAAAGGCTTGTGACTTTATACGAGTATATATGTTACAGTCAAAACAAAGTTTGACTAAAGAGGTTGGTGACAAGTAGCTTTGACTGCAGGCCTTGGTCAATAGCTGTTTTTACTGTGCCCAGGGGCGGTGCTAAGACTAAATCCGGCACTAGTGATATCGGTAAAAACTCTTAAAAAGTTAAGGTAATGTAGGTTGCAGGTTACTCGAACGAATTCTCTCTTTCTTTCTAGGTTAGGTTAGAAACATATTATGTATATATTTACTTTATTATAACTGAGGGCGACTTTCGTATTATATTATGTATATACATATATTAACGTCCCACTGCTGGGTATGGGCCTTCTTTCTATTCGAAGGGGTCAGGCCACAGTCCACCACGTTGGCCAAGTGCGGCTTAGTGGACTTCGGATGTCTTTTGAAAACTTGCTGATTCTCTCAGACCTGCATGTTTCCGAGAGGAAACCTACATGGTTTTCTCTCGGAAACTTCACCATAAGGAAAGTGGTAATAATGTCGAAAACGATTCACACGTAAAAATATAAGACTTGCGAGACCCGGGATTTAAACCCGCTTCACTCGGTTTCCCAGGTGAGCGCAAAGGTAATATAAGAACTTTCTATGTATTTATTAAAAAAATAAACATTAAATTGGCGTAGACATATGAAACATAAAAAAACAACGCATAACAACCGTTTACCTCCTCTTTTTGAAGTCGGTTTAAAAGAAAATCATAGAAAAAAAATTGAAATCCAATTAGCCGCTTTCACGTAACGCTCGCGAATAACAACAGACTATATTTCTAAAAAATATTTACTCTTATTGGACTTCTCAAACAATTCCCTGATGGAAATTAAAAGATCAATGAGTTTCGAGAGTTATTAAAGATACTAAACATCACGACACGTGTATGCAGAAAACTATTGCTACATATAATCACATCGACGATATGTTTGGCTCAGTTTGTAGTGACTCTTCTTGCTGTGCCAGCGGTCGCGGATTCGAATCCCGCTGGGAAAATTCATTTGTATGATAAGCACGAATGCTTGCACTCTAGTCATGGGTATTTATATTTATTATATGTATGTATTTAAAGTTATATATGTGTATTGTATCCACTATCTGGTATCCACGATACAAGTCTCGTAGCTTACCATGGAACTAGATGGTGCTGTGTGTTAATGTCCCAACATATTTATTTATTTATAATTTGACATAATTTGTTCAATAGATAATTAAATTATAATATTTGGATTCTCACGTTACTGGAGCTTCCATCAAAACGAAATAAAACTTTTTTATAATAACGTAATCTCTATTATTGAAGCAACCTTCAACTGGATTTGAAAACACAAAAGACATAAACAAATTAGGGAAACTTTTATAAAAGCAGGTCAAACAAGATTCAATAGGGCTATGGAAGTTTTGTACTTTGTAGTAAATATAATACAGGGTCCGGATCGGTCCGTCTGACCTGCCGGGTCGGGCACCTGTCCGACCCGGCAGGTCAGACAGACAACTTGCCCAAATTAGTAGTAGATATATGAGTTATTTTTTAATTTTCTATTTCGAGGATAAAACGCTAAGTCAATTATCTCCTCCAGGTGAACTTCTAAAAAATTAATAGAAATTAATTGTTAACTGACACACCGGTGTGCCTGCGGTCGTTGGCGGAATAATGTGTTCTGTCAATGCCAGTTTTAGCTCGTGGTGGCACCACAAGCACATAGCGTTTATTTACGTGTTAAGGAGCTTTTGAAGGTCCCGGTTTAATCTGTCGCAAATAGTTATATAATAAATAATTAAATAAATATGTTGGGACATTAACACACAACACCATCTAGTTCCATGGTAAGCTACGAGGCTTGTGTTATGGATACCAGATAGTTGATACACTACACATATATAAACTTTAAATACATACATATTATATGAAATTTTTATGTGGAGAACGAGGTGTAGTATTGGCTCGTTAGTCTAGTACTCGGGGATCTAAGATTTCGAGTCCTGGGTCGGGCCAAATAAAATAGATCTCCTTCAGTAATAGCCCGGTGTCGAGTAGTTGGCAGTGTTAAATTACGTACCTCGAAGAGCACGTTAACGCGTAGGTCCTGCCATTGATTTCATTACTCGTGTTGAATTATCGTTCCATCGTCCTTGATGGTCAATCAAATCAAATGATAGGTATAGACAGTATATATAAGTTACTTTATGGGTATAGATATGCCCCATTTATATGTGCACAAACTTGTGCACTACTATATTTCGTGGGCAGTTAGTTGGCCAGCCTCAGTAAGATTGGGATTGGATTAGATTATCCCATACTAATATTATAAATGCGGAAGTTTGTGAGGATGTATGGATATCTGGATGTATAGATGTATGGATGTTTGTTACTTTTTCACACAAAAACTACTAAATGGATTTTAATGAAACTTTACAATAATATAGCTCATACATCAGAATAACATATAAGCTTCTTTTTATTCTGGAATATTGTACGGTTCCGTGGATAGATCTGTGTTTGCTTTTCTAGAGGTGAACCCGAGCGACCAGGGCGAGCTGCTAGTATTATAAACGCGAAAGTTTGCGAGGATAGATGGATGAATGTTTGTTTCTTTTTCACGCAAAGACTACTGAATGGATTTTGATGAAACTTTATAGTTATATAGCTTATACATTAAAGTAACACTTATGCTATAAGGTTTAAAGATATTATATTAATACATAACTAAAAAACGCGTGCGGACCTGTGGGAAAACGCTATTTATTTATGTATATTAACGTGCGGCATATAGAAAAGAGTGAAGTCTATATACTACGCTTTAAAATTACTTCTATCCCTTGTCTAACCTTCAAAAGTTTACGTGAAAATGCATAAAAAAGTTTCATTAGTCCTGGTAATGTCAACAACATTTGTTTATTAAAGCGTGGAAAGAGAAATCATTTATTAAAATATACTTTAATTTACGAGTTACAACTCGTATATTAAATTAAAATTATAATGAGCCTCGTACAAAGAGTGACGCAGTGCGTTAACATTCATAAAGATAAAATAGCAAACTATCGACTAAATCAAACGTAGCGTTTTGATAGTAATAATAGAACACGTATATATAATATATATGTATATATAATATGTAAATCCATATTCATACTTCCATACTTAATATTATTAATGTGAAATTGGGTTTGTTTGTTTGCTTGTCCTTCTTTCACGTCAAAACAGATTGACGGATTGGCGTGATTTTTTGCGTGGAGATTGTTGGAAGGCTGGAGAGTGACATAGGTTACTTTTTGCCGCGGGAGATTATCTCATTCCCACGAGAAATTTAACATTTAAATTTAAATTTAGGATTTTTCGAAATTCAACATTCCCATAAGGGGGTAAAATGGAGGATGAAGGTTTGTATGAAACCTACCCTTTTAAAGTTATTTTTCTTGGGTGGAAGTTTTAAATAAAGGGCCTTTTATGATAGTTAGTTTTATTTTATTTTAACTTTTACAAACAGATGACGTGGTTTTTATATTCAGAGTTTTTTTTAAAGAGAAAGAATCATCAAGTATTTGCAATTATAAAGATATATAGTTTACATATAAATGTCACAGACAATATAATACCAACCTTTTTTTGTACCTTTAGCGCAAGCGAAGCCGCGGGTTCTGTTAGTACTATATAAGACAAAACAGTTCAATACCTCTGTTTGTAAACCAAATTTCTTTTTTTTTCTTTAGCAGCAATTGACGAGCTTTTATGTTTTTTTTAAATTGGAACAGATTGTTCTTTTTATATAAAAGGTAAATTCTATTCATATATATTTCCCTTAAATGTTTAATAATGATTACGGTCGAGTTTCGACCACTCGGCAAATACATAATTACATCGACTTCAAATCAAAAGTAATTATTACGGGTTTGAACTTGAAATTGTTCTTGAAATTTATATGGAACAACCTTTGACGTTTAACCTCTTTTATACCGCCTCCTTTTGAAGGTCCAGTCATTAATAGGCAAGAGAGCATTACGAAAAAATCTAAATATATAGAATTCACCCAAAAATTAAAAGCAACAAAAAATTTTTATAACACAATTGTTAGTAAAATCTAATTGAAGCGGGTTTAAATTCTGGGTGTTGCACCTCTAATATTTTCATGGGCGCATCATTTTTACCATGATTAAGTACCACTTGTCTTACGGGGAATCAAAACGTCGAGAGGAAATCTGCATATTTAGAAGAAATAAAATTTTATAGCTATACTGTTTATGAGCTATAACATCGAATCCGCGACGGAAGCCTAGAACTAACAACTAACAAGGTATAGTAAGGACAAAACGATTTACTTATAACAATATATAAATAAAGTTCGCACCCTTAGTTTTCATCCCCTATTCACCTCTACATTTACTTACATGTATATTTATGGTTAAGACTACCTGGAAAAGCTTTATAGGTACCATACATAGCTTCGTAGGCCTGTTCATGTACTTTACATTAATATGACGACAAAACTATGCATGAACTTGCTTAGTTTAAAAACCGAGTCTTGAAAATAAAATTAAACATTATGTATGAAAACATATTATAAAAAAAGTCACCCCGCAGCCAAAGTGGCACCGACTTCGAAAATATCTGATTAGGTATCTATTCTAAATGAAAACCTCCGTTTAGTTATTTTTTTACATTTTAGTGCTTGGAAGTCGGTTTTTTTTAAGTTTTATTTTTCCATTTTTAGTGTGGACGTAATAAGCAGGTAATTTGTAAGTAGAAAGTTTTTTAATAACATATTCAATTAGGCAATTTATTTTAAAAATATATTTATTGTTGATTTTTTTAAAAACCGCTCAAGCGATTTCGATAAAATTTAAATGGGACCACCTGGGAAATATACCCTTCGAAACAAAAAAAAATCCAAATCGGTTATACACATACATAAAAAAGTAAATACATAAAAAAAAAGATTCCGATGAATTGAGAACCACCTCCTTTTTGGAAGTCGGTTAAAATCCGTATCATACGCTTTTCACAGAGGGACAGATTAATTCATGAGGAAGGTTTACATGTATAATACATTATGACGTTTATTGTTGAAGATGTCGGAAATAAAAACTTTTTAACAAAAAAATAAAAACCGGCTTCAAACAAAAGCACTAAAAAGTAAAAAATAACTGATATGTAGTTTTCATTCACTATACATACCTAAGCAAATATTTTCAAAGAAGAAGTCGGTGTGCTTTGCTTTGTATGGCTGGCACCTACATAAAAAAAACAATACCGTCGAATTGAGAACCACCTCCTTTTTGAGGAAGTCGGTTGAAAATCATGCCGACTGGGAGCTTTTTTAGTTTGCGTCGCGTAAACCATGGTTAGAGTTAAACGAAAACAATGTGTTATGGAATAATTTTTCTTAAAAAGATCTACTAAAATAATATAAGTGACACTAATTCAATCTATATAAATAAAAACGTATTATATTATGTTACTTTAAAAATACACAAATCTAAAATCACTAAAAGTTCTCGATCGAATTAAAATGTTGTGTACATTTGATCAGTTCTCTACATTTTTTTTTCTTTTTTTTTGTATATATTATTTTCTTTTGTATGTACAATACAGAATTATTATTATTATCACATCAAATTTTCCTGATGTAGCTACTATTGTCGGTGTAACGATCACGTCACTCTTACGAGTATATTATAAATATTATATATTTGATTATTTGTTTTCATTAACACAGCCACGGATCAAAGCGAAGAGTACAAATAGTTGATATATATAGCTGTGGGTTACAATACTGATACAAAAAGATATATCTATACATATAATAAAACTGTACAGGTCGAATGTCTGTGTGCATTTGTTACCATTGTGTTATTTAAATAAAGATTGTTTTATTTTATATTGAAATTTTGTTTCACTTTGCATCGGCTGGCACCGACTTCGAAAATGTCTCATTAGGTATCTATAGTTATCAAAAACCCCCGTTCAGTTACTCTTGAAAAAATTATACAACCAACGAACGTAGGATCTCCTTCTTTTTGGAAATTGGTTAAAAAGATAATCGGTATAAGCATTACCTTTTTCCACGCAACATCACACATGTATTGTATTGATTCAACATAAACAGAGCAATAAAGCCCTGGATTACTCCAGGAATGCTCCGCTACAAATATAATCTACCTCAATTACAGAAACCATGTAGAAACAAACAAAAAAAGATCCTAATGAAATTGAAAATCGCTTACACGTTAAACCATAATATATAACAACCATAATATATAACCTATTAAACAAAACAAAAACACATCTATACATATAATAAAATTTGTAACTAAGCCGAATCTGTACATTAAATATTTTTTGGATAATCTTCGCCCGCGTTCGAATGACCAAAAAGTAAAAACCAAATTCTTAGGTTTTGCATATTAGTATACTCTTACATTGCAGTTTTTGTATTTTTTCTCAGAAATAAGACATTTTTCCGCGGTAAAAAGTATCCTATATGTTGACCCGGATAACCAGCTATCACCATACCAAATTTCATGGAATTCCCTCTAGTTGTTTTTCTGTGATGCGGTAACAGACAGATAGACAGACAAAATTTCTAAATACTTTGTATCGATAATAATGACTATTTTAATAAGATTTTCCAAATAAATATTTAATGTACAGATTCAACTCAGAATTTTATTATATGTATAGATTTCGGACGATTATTCAATTTTTTATTATAATTGAGGCTTTGAAACATAAAAGGGTCAATTTAGCAAAAATTAATATTCATAGAGCAAATGAATGAGACGACGTCAAAAAAGGGCGAGCGTTCAAGCTATTTTTTGAAATATTCAAAAAATATAATACTTTTAATATTTATTGATTTTCATTCATAAAAAAAATAGTGTGAATATATACATATATGTATTATGTATGTATATGTTTATACATTGTATTTATTTTTGTTTTACATATGGTTGGTTCTATACATACAGAGGCACATGCCTCTTTCCGAATATTTCTCTATACTTCTTTTTGTCCTGAACCGTTATCATACATTATTTTCCACATACGTATGAAATTAACTGGAAGAGATCTCTTTTGGGGAAACAATCTACCTTTTCACATCATCGTGTCTACGTATTTTTTTAGTTTTTGTTTTTAAATGCAATAAAAAATGATCTTTAACCTGAAAAATATCTTTTAATTATATAATTTTTCTCTTCCCTTGCTTGACTGCTTTTGATAAAATTTTTGTACTTAACGTGTCATCTGAATGGTCTATAGCTATAGTCAAACCCAGAAAGTTATGCTCTTATTGAAATCCAGAATAACTTTTCTTCTTTCTTTTCTTTATTTAACTACAGTAAAAAATATTGTATTCAGACCCTTTTAACGCCCTACTGTTGGTCACGGGCCTCCCTTCAATACGAGGGGGATCATGCCATCACGCTGGCCAAGTGCGGGTTGGCGGACTTCACATGTCTTTCGAAAACTTACTAGGTCCTCTCAGACATGTAGATTTCCTTACGATGTTTTCCTTCACCGTAAGGCAAGTTGTAACTATGTTAGAAATGAATCGTACATGAAAATATCAGGGTGAGACCCGGGATTTGAACCCGCTTCACTCGGTTTCCCAAGCGAGCGCGTTACCACTGGTCAACCACTGCCTGTGAAATAAATAAAATATACATACGTGTAATGTATGCCACTAGAAAAATGTACATATGTATATTATTTCCGACCAAAGCGAGGTCTGTGGAAGAAAAACATCTGCCACGACCGCTCGTTATATAAAGAAATGACGTTGATAACGAAAAACCAGTCTAAAAACGTATGAAACTCGAAAGCACTATGCAAATTACCAAACAACCCAATTTAAAGTACAAAGAAACGATAACATTACGTGCGCTTGTGAAAACATACATCGAACATAGGTAAATATAGTTGAAACGGCAGCCAAGTGACGGCGTGTGTAATTTTAATCTCGTTAGTAAGCAAGCAAAATATTTGAAGCAAAACCGTCCGTACATTGTAGGTGTTGTCCTTTCCGAGGAATGCAAACATGCGGTTATGCTGAAATTCGCCAACAATCGTTCAAGTCACGCGCGGCGTTTGCTTTAGAATAAGGTTTTAAGTACTAGCGACTCACCCTTGCTTCGCTCGGATTCGTCCCTTGATTGCTTGATTCCCCACACAAACTGTCATCCCCATTTTCACCCCCAAAAGGGATGATTTCCGGGATAAAAATCCTATCCTATGTCCTTCCCGGGGTCTCAAAATATCTTCTTACTAAATTTCATCTAAATCGGTTCAGTAGATCCAGAGATTACCCCCTACAACGTCACAAGCTCACAAACTTTACCTCTTTATAATATTAGTATAGACTAGCGACATACCGAAAGAGGGTCTCTCTAAAGTGCATGCCTAACCGTAGTGGAAAAAATAACACATAAGCCATTTTTTCCACATCAATTAAAGTTATGATGCTTTCTGACAGTAAACAAATAAATATGTTGGGACATTAAAACACAGCACCATCTAGTTCCATGGTAAGCTACGAAACTTGACTTGATAGACTACACATAATATAACTTTTAAAAATAATATTAAAAAAATAAATAAATATATTAAAAAAATAAAATACATATTGTAAATATAAACGCTTAAGACTAGAGTAAAAACATTTGTACTCGTTACACAAATGAATGCTCCCAGCGGGACTCCAACCCGCGACCGCTGGCACAGCAATTAAGGTCACTACAAACTGAGTCAAACGTATTGTCGTCATAATAAAGAAATAATACAATAATTGATATGAAATTTTTATAAACACAATACGGTCTTTGTCGGATCTTCCCATTAGTCGGTTAAGGCATTGTTGGGATAGATATCAACTGGATGAAGAAAATCCTTTGGTGAATTCCACTTGGATATTGTCACTTATTAAAAAAAACCACCCCTTTATCTCCATTCTTATTTTTTTTATCTTTTGTTTGGTTTTATTATTTACTAGCAACTCACCCTCGCTCCGTTCGGGTTCGTTCCTACTTACGTTTTAACATTTAGTATAAATTTCTCAGTGATGAGATATTTTCCCGCAATACAAAGTAACCTATATGTTGACCCGGATAACCAGCTATCATCATACCAAATTTCATCAAAATCTGTCCAGTGGTTTTCTCGTGATGCGGTCACAGACAGACAGATCAAAAGTTCTAAAAACTATAGATTCAGCCTCTGTATCGATAATAATGTCTATTTCAATAAGATTTTCCAAAAAATATTTATTGTACAGATTCGTCTTGGTCACAATTTTATTGTATGTAATTAATAAATAGATAATTAAATTAAAATACATAAATAATCACATATTATATATTTATAATTTAATAAAACCAACTCGAGCGAAGCGAGGGTGAGTCGCTAGTATTATATAATTATAACGTGTTTGACAGTGAATTTCAAAAGAAACTTGATTATACTGGCGCGCTTAGAAGCCAATGAAAATTGATTAACTTGATGGAATCAATATAATAAGGAAATTATCGTTTTAATAAATCAAAATAAATCGAAGTAGGTTAAATTGACTTTCAAAATTAATTTACATAATTAATGAAATACATATACGCGAAGCAAATAAAGCAGCAAAGCAAGCAATAAGCAAGTTAATAAAAAGTTAACAACAGTTATTGAGTACTAGCAGAACCCGCGGCTTCGCTTGCGCTAAAACTACGAAAAAGTATCTAAAAAGGTTTTCTAAAAAAGTTTCATACAAACTCTCATCCCCTATTTTACCCTCTTGTGGGATAAATTCTCATGATTCTTATTTTTTCATTCATTATAATTATACTAAAACACGTATTTATTTAATTGTATTGAAGAGCATTATTAGTAAGTTTCAAGTAATTCTGATCCTAAATATTTTTTTGGGTTGTATTATAACGTGTTTTCCCGAAGGAATGAGATAATGTCCCGCGGTAAGAAGTACCCTATGTCACTCTCCAGCCCTCCAACTATCTCCACACAAAAGATCACGCCAATCCGTCACTTCGTTTCGACGTGAAAGAAGGACAGACGAACAAACAAACAAACAAACAAACAAACAAACAAACAAACAAACAAACAAACAAACAAACACACTTTCACATTTATAATATTAGTATGGATTAACGCTACAACTGCCATACTCGTGTTTGTAAAATATTTCTAAGGGCACATCTCTCGAGACTTTACAAAATGCACGAGATATAATGCACACTAAGATTTCTTTCGGCACTTAGGCTGTCACTATACGATGTTGCGTGAAATAAATATTAGTAAGAATTTGGATTTTATATAGTTAAAGCACTTCTAAATGAATCGCATATTTTTTTAAATGATTATTGTTTATCAATTAAAATAAAAAAAAAACCTGACTGCGTAATAAGCAAACTAAAACTATAGGGAAGAAATTGATAAAGGAACATAGCATTTATTATTCAGTCGGAGACATATTATACATATATGTAAATGTTTTGTACTTTCTTAGAATTTTGTACTCGTTTGAATCATCAAAATTGGTTAAGCCGTTTAGTAATTACGAAAGAAAATAGGATCGAACATACATACATACACATAATAATTGAGTCTTTCTGTAAAGTAAGCCTCAGTAACAGCCCGGAGTTGGGAAGTTGGTGGTGTTTCACCCCCGTGCCTCGGAGAGCACGTAAAGCCGTCGGTCCTGCGCCTTAACTCTCACTGGTCGTGTCGAGCAGTCGCCCCACCAGAGTATGAGAGTGACAGGAACAGAGAGTGCACGTTGTGTCTGCGCGTACACTTGTGCACTATAATATCTCCTGCGCAGTTGGCTAGTCTCAATGAGATTGGCCGCCGTAGCCGGAATCGGCCAGGAGAACATCGTGTGATGTTAATATATAGGTATGTATGAATACAGGTCCCTTCTTCTCCATACGGGTTTTGGGCTTTGCCGCTGTCGGGTATAAAAGTACCTACACCGACTTCATAGTCACTTAAAATGAATATTCCACCCTTGGAGGTGGAATTCTTTTGAAATTAATACGGGACAGTCGTTGAGGTGCATTACTAATAGGGTGGTTTCACCTGTTTTCGGCCATTTAAGCAAACGTATGACTACGAAACTATTTTTTTCGATGATACTAAGGTCGCAGATAAGTTTTCCAAATATTTTCGAACTTAAAAGATAATGTAGTTTTGATATTTGTAGCCCCTTTACTTGACAATGTCATATTAAAATTACTAGAAACTAAAATCTCTGAAATTTGCTATTTAGTCTGTTTTCGGCCACTAAATTTGGTTTCCGGCCATTAATTTGTTTAGTTCTCGGCCACCACTTAACAATTTGAAAAATTATCTCTATTTGTTCTTGAATAAGTTTTATATTACAGTAAAACGAAATAATACATACGAATCAACAATTTTAATTAAATTTTCACACTATAACAATGTTTTTAGGAACATTTTTGTACTATAACAGTAGATCTTAAATTATATAAAAAAAAGAAAATAATAATATGGAAAAAAATATAGATGATCACGAATTTAATATTTTGAATTACGTAATCAAAAAATATCAAATTCGTGATCATCCTCATCTTCTTCATAAATATCGTATTTCTTAAAAGTTTCATCGCTGGGAATGGTTTTAGTTACATCTATAGCTGTTTCACTTTTATGAGACATTTCCTTATCAATCTTGTCTTCACTTATTTTATTTATTTCTTTTATATCAACTTTCTTTATAATATTAAATTTATCAGTCTTTTCGATTACTTTAGTCTTCTTAATATTGATTTCTATATCTTTATCGGTATTTATAATATCACTATCACTTTCTTTGGCTTTTGTTTGTTTTCTTTTTGGGATATTAGGTTTTATATTGTTTCTATTAATGATCTTAAGTTTTTTCGGATTAAAGGGGAATAGCCCACACTTTCTGAATCCGTTTTTAATATCTTGTGTCATATCTGTATCCAAAGTTTCCTTAAATACTTTACAAAAATTAGTCTTCGTTACGGTTTTGTTGAGGTTTTCCGGTTTTGCCTGCCAATTTCTTAGAGTTTTTTCCATTCTTGTTTTAATGGTCTAAACACACTAACATCGGCTAGTTGCATAATATGAGTAGTATTTGGAGGCAAAGCGATGTCATTTTCTGCACAAAATTGACTTAAGGGCATTGACATATGTGATTATGTCCATCTACGAAAAGGATTACTGGTTTTTTAATATTGTTCTCCACTAACCAGTTATTAAAGTCGTTAGCTATGTATTCGTAAAAAACATTTGAGCGCATCCAACCTGATTCAGTTTTGCCGATTATCCAACCTTCTGGCATACTATCTATAACTCCTCTTTCAATCAAAAAACATTCAAGATCTGTAAACCATTAAGCTCTCTCTGACCGCCTCTCTGGCTTTATTAATACTTTCAGGTTCACGTACCCTAATCTTCGGATGCCTTCTAAGAAAATTTTGGTACCATGTCTGTCCCGGTCGCCCTTCTGGAAACTTATTTTCTCTTCCAATATTTTTAATTATTTTTGCAACATTTTCCAGCAATACCTCTTTGCTCACAGGAATCCCACATTTGGCTAATTCTGTAACCAAGTCTACAATTTTTTGCTCACCATCAATGCTAGTATAGGCTCTGGACCTACTTTCGAGGTTGTTCTTTAGATCTGCCGGAAATTCGATCTTGAACTGTTGAGCGAGGGACACCATAGTGATGGCAGGCCTCTCTGATGCTTTTATTTTCTGTTCTTATGGCCTGGACAGCTTGTGCCAATGCTTCTTCAGTATATTGGAAATGAGTCCTCTTATTTTTAATAGTATGTTTAAGTTTATTTCTCCCAGGAGGCATCTAAAAGTAAAAGTAACATTATTATTACTACAATATGGCTTACACGCGATTTTATCAGTGTAAGTCTCCAAAACTATTCTACAGAATTACCTATCAAGATAATAAAAAAATATATTAAAAAATAAAAAACCCGACTTCATAAAAGCTTACTAAAAAGATGAAAACAAGTTGACAAAGGAATATAGTATTATGCAGTCGGAGACATACACATACATATCGCGACAAGGATGAAACGTGTAAGTCTACGACTACATAATAAATACTATATTCATTCGTCAACTTGTTTTATCTTTTTAGTTAGCTTATATGCAATCGGGTTTTTTATTTTTATAACAGTTTTTTTTATTTACAGCTTTTTAGTTTTTGCCAATTAGACATTTGAAGTAATATTTAGCCATTTTTTATCCTAAATTACTTTTAAACATTTTAATTTTATCTATTTTTTATTGCCTATAGCACTCGCGTTATCGTAACGAATCTAACGATGTATGAATCATCAAAATCGGCTCACGCGTTTGTTCTTTAGAATGCCATATAGGAACAAACAAACATACATACATAGACTGATAGACTGATAATCACAATACCCTTCTTTGCGTCGCACAGTCGGGTAAAAAAAGATTGTGTTACAAAAATCCAAGCCCATGATCATATAAACATACAAACATAAACTATATTTGTTGTAATATTAGTAGATGAAAATAAGATTTACACAAAACAAATAATCTTACGTCATTTTAAACATGATCGAAAAATAGAATTACAACAACAGCTTTACGGCCGTTCTTTCAAATAGGTCTGAAAACTAACTGTATGTTAACTAATTTTCGGCCACCTGCTTTATTACTGGCCGTAAACTAAGTTTTTATGAACCGATTTATCGGCCCCCCTTTATACGTGGCCAATAACCAAATTTAAATTAATTAATTTTCGGCCGTCTTATTGCTAGTGGTCGAAAACTCACTTTGATGTACTTGTTTTCGGCCGTTGATTAACTTGTAAAAGTTTGTGACTGACCAATAAGACGGGTCTTGGGGAAGTCATTTTATGTCTGTATTGTTTGTCTGACTGGCGATTTTTATTCAATTATTTCATTTATTGTCATTTACTGTCAAAAATTTTTTCTGGCCGAGCATCGGTAAACATATTATTAGTTTTCGTCCATACCCATTATACCTAGGCCGAAAAGTAATTATAAGAACTCTAATTTTCGGCTGCCAAATACAAAATAACAAAAAAATATTTTTCACCAAATATTAACTCATAACATGCGGCCGAAATCTGACTACATAAATGAGGGAAGGTTATATTTTGTTTAAAAATATTTTTTTTAAAAGTATTCCTTAAATATTATATAATATAATCTATTATATTTACAAAGCTATCTTTTAGTTCTCGGCATGCCGGGCGAAAAGCAGATGGCCCCCCAAAACCTTATCTAGTTACCCGACCATCAAATTTAAATATATAAAACCTTATCTTTCATCCATTTTAATTAAAATAACACAAATTCAAATAATCACCAATTCAGAGTAATAACATTTATCTTTATCAAACCTTAAACAATTTAGTAACTTACCTTGCAAAATTTTCTCGCGCCCTATTTTTTTTGTTATTATTATGACACACGTGCACTACTCGACTTTCGGAGGCCCACCGACGAGACAGTTGGATCATTATAATGCAACAAAGTTCAGAAGGCGTAGGTTTGATTGGAAAAAATATATTTGACGTTGATTTTTAAATGAGCAGAGTAATGATTTCTTATTATCATCATAAAACTACGTCTTGGCCGAAAACCAAAGGTGGCCGGCAAACCGGCTAAGCTACCCTACTAATATATATTAAAAAAATAATTATGAAAATATCGATTTACAATCAGCGTAAATATCGCGATATTTATATACTTTTTGAAATCGGTCTAAAATAAGTTAATTGCATTGAGTTATAATAAAATGGTGCTTATAATGATTTAAGTTGAACGAGCTAACCTTTGTAACTGCTAGCTTATTTTATCACTAACGACTCACCCTCGATTTGCTTCAGGTTCGTCCATAGACAAAAACAAATCTATCCCACGGGAACCGTACATTTTTCCGGGATAGTATAACCTAGCCTTCCTAGCCTATAGCCTTCCTCAATAAACGGGCTATCTAAAGCAAAAAGAATTTTTCAAATCAGAAGTAGTTTCTGAGATTAGCGCGTTCAAACAAACAAACAAACTCTGCCTCTTTATAATATTATAGTATAGATTTATAGCTTATGTATTGAGGAAGACTATGTATAGACAATACGTCTTACAACAACAACAATAATAGCATTACACACTGATTAATTATTCAACACTAAATCCAATTTACTTGCTTCTAGTCAAATTGTCCCAAGAATATTACTCGTAGATGATTTAGGTTGATTCGCGTCAATAAATTTCACAAGACGACAGTGCGCATTAGTATAATGAAAATCAAATATTTTACTTGAATGATACCACTTAGTGTTATTCTTGAGATTTACATTATGATAATTTAAATTTATTTTCAGGAATGAGCAACTCCAGTTTCTTGGCTATGAAAATTCCCTTGCTTTGAATCTTTTGGGCAGTGTATGTTCTTATTTCACACTAACGACTTACCCTCGATTTGCTCGAGTGCGTCCCTAGCTACCCTTTATTTTTGTAATACTGTATGTAAGCCTACGTAATACTATTATATATATATACATATATATGATTACGTAGTACGTATATATGGTAACTGCCTCCGTTGTTTAGTGGCTATAATGGACGGCTGCAGATGCTGGGGTCCTGAATTCGAGTCCCGGGTCGGGCCAAGTTTGATTAATGAGGTTTTATGTTTAGATATTCTCAGTAGTAGCCCGGAGTTGGGAAGTTGGCAGTCTTGCACCCCTGTGTCTCAGGAGCACGTAAAATGACAGGAATAGAGAGTTCACGTTGTGTCTGCGCGTACGCGCGCTGCACTATAATATCTCCTGCGCAGTTGGCTAGTCTCAGTGAGATTGGCCGCCGTGGCCGGAATCGAACGGGAGGATATTATTATTATCATATGTATCTATTATTCCAGATCATAATCTATGTAGTTAATTTTATTCAAATCCATCCATACATCCGTTTTAGCGTAAGGGAGTAAAAAACATACAGACACATACAAACTTTTGCATTTATAATGGTAGATTGCTTGATTTGTTGCCCAAGTCGCAGTGGCGTTTTATAAATCGATGGTAATTAGTCGAAAATAAACTATTGGGGATTTAGTCATAAGTTATACTAAATATAGCACAGAACCACATATTATATACAAAAGAAGTATTATTAACAGTAAAAACCAATTATATAAAAAACAACAAAAATAATGGATATATAGGTAGGTACAATGTTAGCTTTCGTTTGGCACAGTTGGTAATGACCCTATTTTCTTGCCAGCGGTCGCGTGTTTAAGTCCCGCTGGGGCATTCATTTATGTGATGAGCACGAATGTTTGTAATCCAGTCATATTTATAATATGTATGTATTTAAAGTTATATATGTGTAGTGTATCAACTATCTGGTATCCATAACACAAGCCTCTTAGCTTTCCTTGGAACTAGATGGCGCTGTATGTTAATGTCCCAACACATATTTAGCTCTAAATTATTGTACTCTTAAGGGAAGAATTTATTTTTGAATTCTTTTCTTCCTACGGTCCTCGCTTTATAATCAGCTATTCTAAGAAAAAAGAACCACGAAAATCGATGTACTATTGGCAAAAGGTACACACAAGATCACATCAGCATTGAATATCTTCTCTTTTTGACGACCGTGAAAAAGAACAAAGTGTTGTACAAAATCCTATAAACAATATTAAACATTAAAATATTCAAAAACCATAACTAGTCAAGTTTATATTGTAAATTATCACCAAATATATACTAATTTCTATCCCGTAGGAATAAAACAGACAGACAGACACATACACGCACGTACTTCTGCTTTCACAATATTAGTATGATATGACCAGTAGAAATATTAATACCATATTTGTGTACTAATAGTTTCACTTACTAATAGGATGTATATATGTAATACGTATGATCCCTTGTTATTTCCGGTAGTGTGGAGGAGGCATTCAATCGTTACTGCATTTATCTGTATAGATGGGCCGGAAAGAAAAGTTTATTCGAACCAATGGAAACTACATCAATAAATTTTATATTTATCGACTGGTTATTACTAAAGCAACCTATATGAATACACTTGGAGAACTCGCGTCTTCGCTCGCGCTAAAACTATAAAAAAAATTCATTGGCTTTATGCAAAAGGCATTTTTGAAATGGGCTCAGTAGTGTCTGAGCTTAAAGCACATAAGTATTTTATAAGCATCAGTATTTCAATAATGTATGGAAGTTTGACCGATTTATTGACATTTATGATTACTGCTCCGCTCCCTTGGATAGTAGCATGATGATTATAACCTATAGGCTTTCTCAATAAACGGGCTATCTAATGCAAAGAGAATTTTTCAAATCGGATTAGTAGTTCCTGAGATTAGCGCATTCAAACAAACAATCAAAATCTTTTTCATTTAGGATAATATTTAATTACATTATCTTCACTCAATTTTAAAAACTCAAATCTGTTGAACTGTTATAAAGTATGAAGAAGTAACAAACATACTCGATTGACACTTTGACAATGGTTTATTTTAAAAGGATATCTTTAGATTGAAGAATAACAAAATGCTATATGGATATAATTCGTAGCTTATATCACTGTGTGTTTATATCTGTATGTCTATTGTCTGGTCTTATGGTATTGTTACTCTCAAAAGTGTAGACCGAATATCAAGCGCTTTTCTTAATTGAAAACTGACTAAGCCAAACATTTTTTTAATGTTGGAAAATGCATTTACGTATACCACCCCAATACATACAGGTAATTATGTGAGCCTCAGAAAAGTTAGTACTACCCACTAAAACCCCACAGAACGTCCCCCATCTTAATGGAACATCGCACGATCAATTACGCACTCAAACACGACGCCCCGACAAGCCCAACATACCACAGGTAAACACATTTCGAAAAATATTTCATTAACGTCTTTGACCTTATCACAATTTTCCTATACATACATATTATGGATAGAAATGTGTGGACGTGACAAGTAAATAATATATGTAATTATAATATACCAAAGATTAATTTTCGCTATATAATGAAGAAGGTCGCAATTGAAACAAAAAAAGCTTACCGAGCTTTCAGAATTAATAAGCATTTTAATTTCTCCCGCGTAAATTGCTCCCGAATTGTAAGGCTTTGTGTTCAAATTAATTAAAAAATAATAAACACTTTGTACGCTGCAAAAAGAATACGGGGCTTAATATACAAAAGTGGAATGATTTAAAAATATATAGATATTTATAACTTTAACACACCTACTTTTGCGCGCGGATATTCTCGCTTATTATGACGATGAAAATTAGTCTATGTCACATTAATCCTTTATCCACATGCCAGTATAAGATTCGTAAAAGTCGGCAAAGCCGTTCTCCTCTAAAATAATATAGAAAGAATTTACCTGTGGAGAAAAATAAGAAAGAAACTGTAAAAAAATTATTATAAATATTTTATAAAGCACGTAAATCTCGCGACAAGTTTTTATATCATATAAATTGTGTGATGTAATAAATTGTTGGGTTTGATTTAATTTAAATCAAAAATAAAAAAATTAACAATGATAAATCGCCGAATCGATTAAAAATGGTGACATTTACATAATATGTTGGGACATAATCGTGCATTGTCTCGAAAACCCAACTGGTTTGCCAAATTTCAGCTTAATCGGACTTTGGGAAGTGGGTCAAATTTAACTTGCATAATTCCATTACACACCGTAACAGGTGAAACTAAATAAAAGCTTGTAATAAAATCGATTCAATGATCACACGGACAAACATTTTTTCATTCAAGATCTACTGCAAAGTAAACAAATTCTATTATTTAGGGTTTATATTTATCACACCACCCACATTTCCATCGACTATAGGAAAAT